GGCCGCGCCCGCCCCGCCGCCCGCCCGCCGCCGGGGAGCCGCGGCCGAGGCGCATGGAGACGGCGGCCGCCGCCGCGGGCTGGGGTAAGGCGGAGGGCGGCGGGGCCGTACCGGGAGTCTCCCCGCAGCTGGGGGCGGCGGGGCCCGGGGCGGGGGCGGCCGCGGGAACTTGGAGCTGCGGGAAACCCCGAAAGAAGCGTCCGCGGAGGCGCACCGGAGGGAGAAGGCGCTGCAGGTGCCGCTGCCCGCGAGCACCTCCGGGTAACGGCAGGGACAGAGCGGCTGTGATTTAGGGCGCATCGTACCGCGTACCGTGTTGAGCCCGAGCGTAAATCTTTGAAGCGCGAGTTATATTAACGCTTACGTGCATGGGGGCAGAGCGTGCATTAGGGTGTACAGTACAGTCATTCCGAGCCGCTCTGCCACACGCACGTGCGTGGCGCGTTCAAGGTGCGCTCAAACAAAGCGGGAAGCGGCGGCTCCGTCTGACAGCGGCACTGCCCGCGTCGGTGGCTGGGAATGACTTACAAAAACAATTACCATATTTACATAACGCAGCACTGTTTATACACGGGGCTTTGAACCTAACTGGCGTTCGTGCCCTACATCGCACCATTTCCCGAACCGGGGGAAATTCCTGGAAGTAGGAAACAACGCTTTGTTCATTTCTTATGCCCCCATTGAAGCGCGAGCTGAGCGCACATCCTCATCTGAGATGTGTAATGCTGCCCCGCAAAGCGCTGCCCGCAGACATCCAGCGTGTCTCCTCCGACAGCTGCTGCCAAAGCAAAACCTAGCGGCTATTAAGGACTTTTTCTTTCTCTCCACAGTTCTTTTCTTCCATCTCCCTCTCATCTCTGGGAGCTCCATCCGCGTTGGGATAGGCAACAACTCCAGCCTCTGTAAGTAGTTTCTCCTTATGTCTTAATGCACTAACGCATGCCTTACACCTGTGTACAGCTGTAGGAATAGCATAGCTGAAGTCCTCTGGCAGATAAACATCAATCTGAGCACAAGCAAATTCTTTTTGACCAGGGAAACAACGGAGTTAACAGAAACTGGGATCTTCACACAGACAAAACACAGAGGTGGGTGAAAGAACAGCCTGCAACAGTGCCACACAACGTGGCCTCAGGCACAGCTGCTTCAATCATTTTTTTTTAATGCTCAGCATTTTCTCCCACAACAAATTAACACAGAGCTGCTGCAACTGATCTACAAATTGAGCACATCAGTCAAAACTGATATCATTTTGGCACTCACTAATATAACGTGGCTAAAAAATCACTTCCAATCACTGAAATAAAATGCAGAAATTTGCCTCCCTCCCACTCTTCCCTTTATGACCAACTTTGGTATTTATTCTGTGGAAGTTTTCTGAAAGAACATGGTAAGAGCCAGCTCTGCCCCTGGCACTGCCTGTCCTTCAGCAGAAAGCCGCGTGTGTGAAAGGAACCACACAAACACATCCAAGCCGTCTGATAAAAGAATGAAAAATGAAAAAGTACTGCTGGTTGTAAGTATTAATTGTTATTAACCAACAGCCATCATTTGCAGTACATCAGTGAAGGACCCCGTGCTGCAGGGCTGCAGGCAGCAGAGCTGGGCTCCTCTGTACTGCATGTGCTGCTCCCCCTCCTCCTCCCCAAGAAGTCCCAGATTTCCTTACAGGGTAAAGAAATGTACTTGAAGGGCAGGTAAAAGAAAAAAAACCACCTGGTTTTCAGTCAGATCTTCAGCAGTTCAGTACATACATATCAGCTATTTGAAGAACATGGCTCCTTTATGGCTAGAAAGTGACTATGTAATTACGTATTTAAAGATCTGTATGTCTTTCTGATAACTGTATTGGATGATAATGTCTCAGCTGTTACATCTCAGAGTACAAGGAGTGCCCAGAGGTTTGTAAAATGTTCATTTGGATGCCTGACTCGAGACAAACAGAAGTACGAAGTACTTCTTATGCAGCAGTGTTTAACATTCAGCCTTAAGACTCCCGTTTTCAAACCCATGCCCCTCTTGAGCTGCATTATCTCACCAAGCCAAGAAGGAACAAACAGGCTCACGCTGTAGCTTTCTGTACACAAGCACCCACAGCCAGGCTCAGGGATGTGCCTTAAGAACGCAGCTTTGTGGTGAGCCATGGTCCCAGGGAGGCAGTGGATCCCACTGCACGATGCCTTGAGAATGTTGGGGACAAAAGCACCAACCTCTGCCCTCCCTCCCGGCCTGTCCTCCAGCAGCACTGCCAGGAGCCTGTGACGCAGGCTAACATGCTGCAGCTGTCCCTCTTCCCCAAACACCCAACAAAGCTCCATCCCTACAGTGATCTGCTTTTAGTTTCCTTTCCGTGATTTTTCCTCAAAGTACAGATGTCTTCTGAAGGCAGCACACAGGTCCCTTATCCCCTCCCTTAAACGCACAGCCCATATCTTCTCAGTTTTCTACTTCAGGCTTTAATGCCTTAAATTGTGAAGAAGTAAAAAGTGTTCAAATGCCTCCAAAACTACACCTTGGAATTCTTCATTCTTCTCCCCTATCTGTCTTCTATCAATTTATTTTATGATGGCTTGGTATCATCTCAGTTACTCACATCAAGAATGGTTTTAATTTATTCGATCACATTCCACACTAGGCAGGTATCTGTCAGCAAGCCTGACGGTTCCCCAGCCTTGTTTATGAGGATGTAGGCTGACAACGCCGAATCATCCATTCCCCTGTAACTGCTGACCAAATACCCTGGTTTCAGCAGCTTCTTCCCATCCTACCTCCCATGTCTGATTTAATTTTTTCATGGAGAGAACAACAGACTAGAATTCATTCCTGTGCAACTACTGTGCAGAAGGACACAGAGTTCAACCTTGCTCCCTACTGAATAAATGGTAGTAAAGCTTTAGTTTTTGAAAGAGACCCAATGAAATCACTAGGAGTAAGGCTGAGAAGCATCTCAGACAAGAGCAAGGGGAGATGTTCTGGAGGTGCTGAGCACTATTAGCTCAGGCAGTCCATCATTTTGTTACTGTGTAATGACTGGACTTGGGCTAGATGCTCAATGCAGTAGATGCCCAGACACCTCTTGTATGACACTGAAAGACAGACTATGAGTTTTTGTGGTCTTCTTAAAAGTAACTGTCTTCAGATGCTTTGGAACTTTGGCTTCAAACTGAGAGCTGGCAGAAGCAAACAATTCGATTTATGCAAATAGTCAATTTAGCTCCAGAACTTATTACATATTTTGCTACAACTTCCTGCACCCCCTCAGACTTTTTGTTTTAATTGACGATATTATGACATTAAGAAACCTGCAATCTCAGAGAGCCTGTGTGAAAATACTTCACTGGAAGGCATTCCAGCCAAAGCCATCATAGATCACCATCTATTCTTCATACAAATCTTGCTTGTACCATACATTCTTTCCTGGGCCTCTATAAGTTTCTTATCTTTAATAGCTTTTGTTCAGTTGCAAGTATGTTAATCCCTCTACTCCTATCATTACAATGAGAATCTCTCTTTCAGGACTGTATTAAAAGGGATATATAAATAAATAGTTCAATACATGCAATTTCTCTCCTCTTTTTGAATCTCTCTTCTTTTTTAATCTCTTTTGAATCTCTCCTCTTGGCAATTAATCTTTTGTAGTTTCAGGCTTTAACATGAAAAATGTGGTTTTTCATAGAAACAGCTCTCCAAGCATATGATCTATAAAGGTTTTCGGCATGCTCAGTTTATGATGATTTACCTGCAAACGTGATAGGATTACTTCTATCAGTGCAATGGACATGTAGAAGACCCAACTAAAACTAAAGCTTTATCATGCCATGTCCTGAACAGAGCAATTGGCCTTGTCCATACAGATTGCAGGTGCCTAGATAAGACAAAAAGTTGGAAGAGAAAAACAGTAACAGAGACATTACTTGTTTTGAATTTCATAGCAATCCAAGGAGAAGTGCAGGCTCTCCAAGCTCCCCAGCTGGTACCTGCCCATTATTTGGCATACACACATTGCAAAGACAGAAACAAAGAGCAGCTATTTGGGATGACTGACTTTTAAGTATAATTTGAAAGGTATGTTGAACTACACCAATAATCAAGCTCCTCATACTAAATAAGCTTGTAAAGTCAGATGTTCAAAAGAATACAGGTCATTCAATAGCAGACTGACAAAACAATTACGATGTATTCATAACCACTGTGTGCTGGGGTACATGCTGTACAGTACCCCACCTCAGCCCCAATTGAAACCATCACAACATACAGGAAGAGCACAAAACAGATACACTGAGAACAAAACTCGTTTTGTTTTTTTTTTCCATATTGCACTGCCCCTTATGGTACATGTGATGATTTTTGATATTTTTTTCAGTTTTGCCAGTCAGTTTGAAGGAAAATACACCATCAAAAAGCACATACAAGGACAATTTCTAAAAGGATTGTACCTTAACCTAAATTTGATGTGATCATTTTCACGTTCTTAAACTACAAATGTTAACTTTATAAATTCATTCAGATGCGTACTGATTTGGAATACAGCCCCTGGAGACTGCCATCACACCTGGGATGGAACAGGTCGGCTTAGAATTGGGATGTGTTTCTCTGGAGGAAACTTTGTTAGCTCCCTGTCACCCATAAGAAAAACTTTTCAAATCTTTCTCAAGGCAGAATGTACTTTAAAGACAAAATACCGTGTTCTAGCTCCTACCAAGACAGTTTCATCTGTGAGAAAAGGCATTACTTTCCAAGATGATGTTTCTGTCTGTACTCTGCAAAAGAAACTCGATTACCTAGAATTTGAACATTACTATTTGTTCAATCAGTGCTAAGGGTGAATTTTTGCCTTCCTCTGTCCACAACTGCTCCATGAGGCCTGGACTTCCATTTATTCCTAAAAAAAGTATTTGCATATTTTTTGTCCACAAGTTTGGGTGGGGATTTTGCAGCTTCCCTTGGGAATAGTTGGAATATTTGCATCACCTGGGTTCACAGAAGACATAATTTACTTTTGCTATACCTAGGACATGTAAGCTTTTGGGAACGGGCTTGCTCACACACATACACACTCCTTTACTGATATTATCCTATATTACTTTTTAACTCAAAGAATTGCATCTGCCATAAAGCTTCTCATAGTTTACAATGCTGGTAGTTCTCCCTGAGGGTAATAAAATGTTGCGGCAGTTTCCTTGCCTTTTCATGAGGCGTGCACCCCAAAGTGGCCTACAAAATTCAAGAACTGCTTTCTGGATGAGACCAGAGAGTTGTTTGTTTGTAAGTTGCTTTAAAGTACCAGTAAAGTGGTTGAAAGTAAAACAGGCATTTGATGCCACGTGAACTGAACTGCAGAAAAATTTCTTACATCAAAAAGGGGTGAAATTGTAGGCATTGGTGTAAGAGAATTTTGTCCAGCTAACACAGAGACTGAACAAGAAAGATACAGAAGAGTATAGACTGGAACAAGTTCTAAGAGGATTACAATCATTAAGGCAACTTCAAACTAGCTGATGAACTAAATGAACTCCATGGAAAATATGACTGTATTCATGAGATGCATTCTGGGACCAACTGCTTTAACGAATTTGTTACTGTTTTTTCATTGGCATCATTTTCTTGCAGATGAATGCCTTCTTAATATCTGCAATAACAACATAAATAGTCCAAAGTTAACAAAGTTGTTCCATTTCTACAATGTTTGGTACCACAAAATAATGACTGCATAGCTCCTGCTTCTTTACTATTTTAACTCTTTGAGAAACGCAGGCAGGATTCTCCACAGCCTTCACTGCAGGAAGCTGTATTCTATGTCACCCAAAGATGCTTGAGATGGCCACCCCCAGAACAGCAGTCGTTTGGGAAACGTACTGCAAGGTTTTCCAAAAGCACAGAACACTACGATCTGATTGCTGGCCTCTAGATTGCAGAGCTGCCAGGTACAAGCATACAATCAAAGATTTACTGTAACGGTTTGTCGTCAGTGCTGGCAATATTTATAAATGCACTTGGGGTACTGACATTTTCCACTGGAGCAGCTGTGTGGAGAACTGGAAATCATGACCAATTATGCCTAGCTGCAGGATTTTGCAGCTATGAAGGCTAACAAAAAAAGCTCTGAATTAAAAACACCGGAGAGCTAACAAAAACCTGATTTAGAGGAACTGACGGTTCCGTCGGGTACCAGTTTGCAACACTGACCCTGTGAGTGTTTGCTCTCAGGAGCTGGTGTTGTTCAGGTTGGGTTTGAACGTTTACTTGCCTGCATTTGGAAGGTTTTAGATTGCTCATTCAAAGTAACCTGAATAAAGCTGTAGTACTTAGGGTGATTTAAAGGCGAGGAGTTTTTCTGCCCAGAGGGTCTTCCTTGCCAAACTTCCAATACTTTTCATTCTGTCATTAGTGAAGTCTTCTTTCTGCTCTACTTCTGTTCCTCATTATTTGAAGGCCCAACAAAACTGTACAACAAAATGATGAAATGATGTTGGCACTTCCACTTACACACCCAGATGCACTTGTCAGAAAACAGCTCCCTTTTATCCATCATTGAAAAAATCCGAGTTCAATTGCACCACTATTAAAATGTTAAAAAAAAAACAAAAAACAACAACCAAGAAACATGAAAATCTTCTTTGAAAATATACTTTCTTTCCTCTCTTGTCCTGGACAACTATCAGACTGGTAGAGGGTTGTGAAAAAGTTACATCTACAGCTAGGAAGCCATAATTCAGACTTATGCAAGATAGCAAAACTTTTTTTTTTTTTTTTTCCCCCATCTGTGTGTATTAAAGCTGGGGCAAAGATGGATTGTTTTGTTTTGGACGTTAGGGCACGTAAGTAATGCAGGAGGCTCTGGAACACAATGCCCTCATAATTTCTTTACTGCATTTCACCTACAGCTTAGCTGTCTCCAGCACTATTTAAGTGATCTGCAACAACAACGTAGGAGGTATTTGGTTTGGTCTCAGACCCTTCTGACATCTAACAGTGAAGAGAGCATTTCCATCCCCCCACAGCACTTGAAATAGCAGGCGCACTGACTTTCAGTGGCCACAAAGCCGTGTTACTCAGGAAGAAGCTGTTACACAAAGTCACCAGTCGTTTCTCCCCCTTGCAGATGAGCAGAGCATTCTGCCATGTAAGAAGGAAGAACTGCAGTGTGGCACCGGGCTCTGCCTCTCCAACTGGCTGCGCTGCCGCTACAGGAAGGACTGCGGCCGGGACTACATGTCCATCCAGCTGACGTGCTCCAGTGAGTCACCCTGCCCTCCAAAGCAGGGCACACTCCTGCAAATCTGTATCTGTTTTTTCACTGAATCTGTTTGTAGCAGGACTGTGCTGTACACAGGAGATTTGGTTTAGTTTTGCTGTTGCAAGGATATGGATATTTATAGGTTTATTTACTTACGTCTGAATCATTTATGCTACACGCTGATTGCAAGTGGAATAGTAAACAAATATCAGCGGTAGTGGGAATGGAATATTTGGTCCAGATCAAAATGCATTAAGCTAATGTATTGTGAAGGATGCCGCTCTGAAATGCCAGTTGGGAAAATAAAATTAAAAAGCCTAAAAAAGGGCGGGCGTCATTGCCAGAACCAATTAGGCACTGGCAGCTCTGCAGAGCAGGTTGGCTGGGCACCCTGCGCTCCAAAATGGCAGTGTGAAAAAATCCACAGCAGCCTATCAGAGCAACACCCAGGGAGGCTGGAGGAGAGGGAAGCGCTACGTCAGGTCAGCAATGCCCAGTGCAGTTACCAGCCACAGGGTGACTGCTGCAAGTGTGCAGAGAGGTTCAGCCATCTGTTTTGGAGCACAGATTTGTCACAAAAGTTGAAAGATGAATTGGAGGATTTCTGATGAACAGAAGTGCAGCAATCCCAGCAGTAGCCTTTTACAAACAAACTTCTTAGCCTTTTCTGATATATTCTTTTTAACATATCCATTTTGTATCTAGCAACATCTAGGAGCACAAATACTTTTAGATCACTGTTTTACATGTTACAAGTGGGACTGATCACATACTGCTGTCACTAATTACCTGCCAGAGATGTGTATTGAATTTTTAAGTTAATACTGTACACAGAAGAACATAGCCACAACTCTGCAGAGATACCAGAAGTTAAAACAGAGAAAGCAGACAGACAGCTCTGGGCACAGGAAAGTGAACAGAAAACCTGAGTTCCAGGGGGGAGCCTGGCACATGGCATCCTCCAGTGGTATTCAGAGTGTGGGGCCACGACAGAGCTGAAGTGAAGGCAAAGTGCAGGCAGGAGGTCCTCAGCTCCATCTGCTCAGCCTGGGCATCTGTGCTTGCCACACGAGCTGGCTTTGCAGTGGAGATCAAGCATTAATACAACACAGGCACTCTATAGAATTGATCACAGTCATTAAACAGAGCAGGCTCCAGGTCCACGGAGCGTGGAGAGATAATGAGCTTATGACTGAGCATGCAGAAGGACTGCAGATAGCGTGGGCAGGAAGACACAAGGCCTGAATGTAGGCAAGACCTCAGCTTCTTATGCTGTAGTTGTTAACACTATCAGCAGAGATTAGAGCTAGTGATGGGATTTTCTGCAGCAACGTGTTGGGGAGTGGTGGTGGAAGATCTGTGGGAATACAGCAGTTCTGATGGTCTTGTATCTTGCCTGGATCACGTGAAAACCTTTCAGCAACTTCCATCTGACAGAAGTATGCATTATTTTCTGCCCTTTCATAGGAGTGTGTGCATGGAGTAAGAAATAAGTTGCAACCAGCACTTCCTCATATATGCAGAAACATATTTTTCTAAATGCAAAGCTGTCAGTTCAGCACTAATAAGCTATGACAGTGAGAGTTGACAAAACAGAGTCAGTCACAGGCTTGCTCTGAATACAGTACAGATTTAAGACCTCAAAACCACAAAACCAAGAGATGATTTGCAATGGTTACAGAAGTGCTCAAAATCACAAACTGCCTAGAGGAGAAATTCATTATTTTTCAATGTAAAGGCTGATTTTCAGTTCACAGCTGAACTTGAGAGCAGTGTCATCCAGCAAGGCACTAACACCTGTCACTTCACCTGCACCTTACAGACAAAGGAATGTTTCAGACAAGGCAGGTGCCAAAGCACCTGTGTTGTGTGCTGATCCTGCTGAACGATAGCAGGGCCTGTTAGAAGATCAGCACCGACAGGAAACCTGTATGGAAAGATACAGTTAGATCTGGGGCAGCTGCTTCAGCCCCCTGCTGCCTGCTGCTGAGGGGTAGGGCAGTGGGAGCAGGGCAAAGGGAGGGTTGATGGATTGCCCCACACTGTGAGCACTGGCAAACAGAATGTACATTTATTCCAGGGGATCTGGGGGCTTATCAGAATTGAAAGAGAGCATGAGATCTGTTTTCTAAACATTGGCAGCACATCAATCACCAATGCAAACTAATGACAGAGAAAAGGGAAATGATTCCTGTTCACTGTGCCATTAACACCTAACTTAATATCCTGAATTCACTTACATAGGCATTCAGTTGGAATAAAATAGCATTTATAAAATCAGATACAGCAGTGTCTGTAACGGGGACTTCCTGTGTCAGTGACATCACCACATGAATAAGAAAAAAGCTATGCGGGTAAACAGAACCTCAGAAATAAGAGCTCTGGTGGTTTTTCCCAGCTTAGGGTAGATTTCTACCCTCTATAATTCCTTACCTCACAGAGACAAAGTAGTTCTTTTCATAGCATACTCTAGGAGCTTAATTTTAGTATTTAAGAGTCCAAACACTAACACAGAAGTATTTTATTTAATGTGCAGTTACCATGAAATTCAGCCTAATGGGAAAGAACATGAATTATTTCAAGTGCATTTGAAGTACAAATATATTTTATTATCCTTCCTGTATCAGCGAGCCAGAATCAACTGGATTCTTGCATCTTTATTCCCTTTCTCCCCTTTCTCTTTCTTATGCTTCCTTCTCTGAAACTGATTGACAGTGATTTTTTGCCATTAAATCCCCTTGAATCAGAGGTAGAGCCACAGCTGTCATAATGAAAGTATTGTACTGCAGGAACTAAAGGGAAGCAGCCCTGAGAAGCAATGCATAGATTTGTTCCAGTTGAGAAAACAAGCTAATATTTCCATTGCTGTAAGAGGAAATCAAATGTATAATCTTTGCTCAAAGGCTAACCATATATTTCTTCAGAAAATACACTCACCAAAATAGTGCTGACCTGTGGCACTTAAGATGTACTTGCCTCAGCTACTCTCTGCTTCCAGTCCTCAGCCAGCTACTTAGAATAGAAGCTCACACACATACCAAGTTTTTAGCTGTCTTTTTGTGTCTCATACTATCTATATGTATTTTTTAAGGTTGAATTATCTACCTAGAGGATTTCATGAACTCACGAGAAAGCAGTATTAAAGGCTAAAATTCTGCTTCAGATTTAAACATTTTCACTGGAATGAAGAGATCTGCCCCACTGAAGCTAAAGACAGTCATAACCCATGCTGTAGTTGATACTTCTTTATTTTTTTGCAAAACTTACAGTAACTGTCCTCCACGACGATTTACTTAAGGTTGATATTAACAGGAGCCAGATCTAAGTTTGTTTTAAAAGCTTCATCTACCCAGATAATTCCACAAATTGTCTTTCCATTAAGCAACACAATCTAAATTGCTTTAATTGAAGCTTTATATAATATTACGTAGGTAATCCTGCCTATAGAAAACCCTGCTTGGAGTCAGCTAAGGCAATTAACAATTTACTCCTGAGATGACTGGAAAAAGTATGTTTTAATACTAGCCAGTCTTTGAGTTTGGACAGCTTGTGTTGAAAAAGCAGATTTCAGGACATGCAACTCTGACATGCAGCTCTTCAAATAGCAGTGACAACAGTCACTGAAAATATTAAATTATAACATAATGAAAATATCCTTTTGTTTTTATCCATTCCAAGTTAATTCCATTAGATGTCCTTGTAATCTCGTTCCATCTGAAGAAATGTGTTGTTTCACTGTCTCCTTACAAATCTGTATCCAGGTAGAGATAATAATACTGAATTATTTGATAGGATATAAAGACTTGCTGGTTCAGTTTCACAGTGAGAAATTATCAGTAATATTGTTATATTTTGAAATATATTGAAATACTTTCCTGGTGGCATTGTTACTGGAAGAGAAGCTGAGGAGAGTTTCTGTCAAGGTCATACGCCAAAGGCTGCTCTGTGAACCTGCAAACAGGCGAGGAACTGATCCAGTTACAGAGGTGTCTCAATGCACCTTTTCCTTTGAAAAGACTACATGAATTTCAAAATAGACTGCTTTAAATCCTGTAGGTAAATTCTATTATAATTCGTCCATAATACAAGCTTTCAAAAAGACAAGAAAAAGAGCCCATCAGCTAGACAAACACCATTCCCACAGCACAAATGCATAAAATGGTGACACAGTTTTTGAATGCACATTTCAGCAGTCTCTGAATTGGAGAGTTTGAATAAATAATAGTATAGTATGAATAATAGTATAAAATAGAATAGTACGAATAAAATCAAGGTATTTAAAGTGCATGAAGGATGCACACAAACACTGAATGGAGACACAACTCCTTTGTCCACAAGCTCTTTCTCAGGAAATAGCAGGACCCAGCTTGTTGGCACAGCAGCTTTACGAAACATTAGTTATGTGTGAAACACAACATGTAGGGGAAGTGAAAATCAGATGAAGACTAGAGAGCAAGTAGAAAAAGTCTGGGCCAGGGGACATAAAACCTCCTAAAAATCTTCAACTCAGATATGCCTTAAGTCATGACACATCATTTGATTAGTTTCATATGAGCGACTAACAGAAGACATTTGTTCAGATCATTACATTGCAATATCTTTTATACTTGCCAGGCTTTCTTTCAGAGCGCACGGTGGCAAATACGTGCACACTGTATACAAATACATAAGCAGGGCAGAAATAAAAATACGGAATGGTGAACAAGATATTCTTTTTATCTGTCTTACTCAGCACTGTCAGGCTCTCATAAACAACAGTAACTCCCAGCACTGACAAATGCTGTTTATTAAGGAACTGAATGCTGCTGACACCCTTTCTGTGAGGGGAGAAGCAGAAGTTGTGCTGCAGTTTGCTGCTGAGGGCCAAAGAAACGTGTGTGCTGGTGGTGTGAGAAAGGAAGACTGAGGAGTTCAGGGTCTAACTTAGGTCATGTTCTGTCTGAAGGTGCTGGGAAGTTCTTCACCAGCTCTGTAGCACTGCACGTGTCATGGAAGTTATG